TATATATATATATGTACACATATACGTATATACATACATATCTATATATATATGTATACATACATGCATGTATACATATATGCATGTATACAAAACATATTGTGCATGTGCGTACGTACAACACACATACGTGAATACACCAATATATGCAAATATACATGGATACATGCGTAGATGCATACATGCATAGCTACATGCCAACATACAAACATGCTTGCATGCGTGCATACATACATACAAACAATGGCATCTACATATATATATATATATATATAGCTGCATACATACACGCGTGCATGCTTACATATATACAACGATGCCGAATCCATACACACATACATACCCACACGCCTGCATGTATGTATACATACATGCAGGCGTGCATACATACATACATATATATATATACATACATACACACATACACACGTGCATGCATACATGCATACACACAAATATATACAATGTATGTATATGCGTACATACAAACATACAAACATACAAACACATACGCCCATGCGTACACACAAACATATATGCATACACACACATACATGTATGCATATATACAGCGTTGCATACAAACGCACATGTATATATGTGTATATGTATATGCAAACACATATACATGTATACATGTATATATATATACATACATGCCAACATGCATACAGACAGACAGACACACATGCATACATACACACATACATGCATATATGCATGCATTGATACACACATACATACATGCATGCATACAGACATACATACATACATGCAAACAGACATACAGATATACATACATACACATGTGCATAAACTTGTTCGTTAGCGGTGAGGCGGCGAAACCCGCTCCAGTGAGAAGCTAGATACATGCATACATACACACAGTTATACATACATACATGCATACATACATACATGCATACATACATGCATGAACGCAGATCTTCCTCGTCTGACCACCAGACGTGTCGGTAGGGCGAGCTAGGCATTTCGCCTGCGACGTTCTTACAACGCTTGGTGCAGAAAGTCTATTACTTCCAAGCGTTACATAAATGTGGGCTGGGCCGTTTTCGAAACGAAGCTCTCATCTGAGCGCCTCGAATATTCTTGGGGCCTCCTCCTCCTCCCTTCTCAACCTCTTCCTCCTCCTCCCTGCTCCCCCTCCTCCCCCTCCTCCTCCTCCTACTTCCTCTTCGACCCGGGACCTTTCCAGGGGTGCGTCCTGGCCAGTCTCGAGAAGAATGCGGACGCGGCGACGGGGCCCCCGAGGGGCCCCCAAGAAAGGCAACAAGGGCATACAAAAGCGGACCCTCGAACCTCGACCTTCGAAATTCGAACCTCCTCCCTGAGAGGGACAAAAACCGGCATACGCATGATTTCACAGAGGTCCGTGCTGATCTCTTGGACTGGCGCTGGACCCCCTTCCCTGGCGTGTGGAGCGCGCGAGGGGCGGCGCCGGAGGCGCCGCCAGGGGGCCCAGCGCAGATTCAAGAAATCCGCGCGGACCTCCGAGCATTTGTGTTTATGCAGTTTGGGTTCTTCGACTTCTTGAGACTCGAGAGGGCGGGCCGAGAGGCAGGACGGCGGGCCGAGAGGCAGGACGACCGGCATTCCGTCTTCGTTTCGCTCGACCCCGGCTCGTTCCATCCCACTCCATGTCCCTTTTTCCCGTCCTCCATATTTCTTACTTGTCCGGCATCTCCCTCTATCTGTGAGCCTCCGCCGTCACGATTTTGTTGCGACGAGGGCCCCTGGAGGTCCCGACGCTTCTCCCAGAACGAGCTCCTAATCCCGAGCCGCCTTTTAACAATCACGGGGCCGGGTGTGGGCATCGATCATCCGACCCCCATCCCCAGCGGCGCGGCCTGGGCCCCCCTGGCCGATTTACCCCTCTAGATGGGGATATGGGCCGTTCCCTTCGGGTTTCGAGGGGTGTATCCCCAACGGAGGTGGTAATTTGGCGGGGGTCTCGAAGGGGATGAGGAGGGGGATGGGGGTCGGTTCCGACGCGGTGTGCGTCACGACGCGGGCGAGCCTAGGCGCCTCCCTGCCTCCCTGCCTCCCTTCCCCCGTGAAAAACACACCCGGTGCTTTGAAAACAGGCTGATCCTCGGAAGCTGGGCGAAGGCTGGCAAATCCGTGGCTGCTAAAACGGTTTTCTCGGAAGATACAAAAATCCCGGAACAAAACTCGGCGTACTAACTAATAAACGGGCTGCATCCCGGAAAAACAAAAAAAAAACTCCGTTTTGGCAGCCACGGTTTTGCCAGCCTTCGCCTGGCTTCTGATCGGGGAGACGTACGACTCGGGTACGGGGGACTCGGGTTGGCCTGACGGGGTCATCACAAAAATGACGAGACCCAATCTGAAATTTGACGCGAGCTCCCGCTGCAAACATTGCACGAAAACTGGACCGTCTAAATCCAAGACACATTCGTCAAAAAACGTCGGCTAATCCGAATTCCGGCTTACTCGAGTCTTACGTTTCCCCGATCTGAGATCCATCGGCGACATCGTCTTCTGGAGGTCTGAATGAGCGGCTTCTGTGTGCGCTGCTCTGGTGGCAAAATCCTCCCCACCTCCCCTGGAACTCGGACCGCCTCCCGCCACTCCGATGGTCTCCCCCCTCCTCTTCGAAGCACCCCGTCACCCTGGCGAGAACCCCACCCATGCCCCTACTTGGCGGCGAGCGAAGGGGGGAAGTTAGAAGGAGAAGACCTTCTCAGAAGGCGGCGGGGCTTCTCAGAAGCCCTCTGGCCTTGTGAGAAGTTTCCTGTGTCTTCGGAGAAGGCTTAGAAAACCTCTCAGACGGCCGGGGGACTTCTGAGCCTTCTGAGAAGGCCTTCTCCTTCTCACTTCCCCTCCTCGCTCGCCGCGAACCTACACCCACACTCCCTCTTCGAGAAAGTTGAAAAGGGGGGTTCGAACGCCCCCCCCTCGCCGCCGCCGGCAAACGACGTCGACGACGTCTTCGTCGGCGAGTCGGTCGGTCGGGCAGGTCACGTCGTCTTCGTCGATCGCCGTCGCCGTCGCCGTCGCCGTCGTCGTCGTCGTCATCATCGACATCGTCTTCGTCAGTCGTCATTCTCGTCGGCGCTGTCGACGCCGCCGCCGCCGCCGTCGTCGTCATTGTCGTCGTCGTGGGCGAGTCCATCGGGCGTGCGGGACACGTCGTCGAGGGCGAGTCGGTCGGGCGGGCGGGCGAGACACGGCGAGTCGGTCGGGCGTGCGGGACATGTCGTCGTCGTGGGCGAGTCGGTCGGGAGGGCCGGGTGGAAGCGTCGTCGTCCGCACCGCCGCCGCCTTCGGAGTCGTCGTCGTTGTCGACACGTCTTCGTCAGTCGTCGTTGTCGTCGGCGTCGTCGACGCCGCCGCCGCCGTCGTCGTCATTGTGGTCGTGGGCTGGTCGAGTGGGCGTGCGGGACGCGTCGCTGTGGGCGAGTCGGTCGGGCGGGCGGAACGCGTCGTCGTCGCCGTCGTCGCCGTCGTCGGCGAGTCGGTCGGGCGTGCGGGGCACGTCGTCGTCGTGGGCGAGTCGGTCGGGCGGGCGGGAAGCGTCGTCGTCCTCGTCGTCCTCCTTGTCGTCGTTTGCCAGCGCCTGGTCAGGCGGGCGGGACACGTCGTCGTAGTCGTCACCGTGGTCGTCCTCGTCGTGGTCGTCATCCAAGCTGTCGTCGTCGTCGTTTGCGGGCGCCACAGTGGGGGGTTCGAACCCCCCCCCCGACTTCTGAGGCGGGAGGATGGGCTCCCGAGAGGCTCAAGAAGTGCCGAGCACGCCCCGCAGCACCGCCCTCCGATCCGCGAGCCCAAGATCGGCGGTTCGAAGATGGAGGCGCGAGAGACGGGGCCCCGAGGACAGAAAAGGGATCCCCAGCTGAGCCTTCACTGCGTGGGGCCACCCGTCCTTCGGTCACTCGCAGGAATGACCCTAGGCAAGAGTAACTTCTGGTGCGCAGCCCGCCAATCGTTGCACGCGGTGCGACAAGACAACGTCCTGTGCGCTGGGGTCTGGCCCTCCCGCGCCCCCCCAACGACACGCAAGGAAAGGTCACTCTGGCGAAGGGTCACTCGGCAGTGTAGCCGAGTCGTCGGGGCCGACAGCGGCCGCTTCTGGGCAGGCGGCCTTCTGTCTCACATTGAACCACGCTTGCGGCGGCACCGACAGCGAGACCTGCTCCATATGGACAGGGACAGCTGTCAGTCTTCGTAACCTCTCGTTCCGAACCCATTTGGAGGAGGAAGAGGAGGAGGGGGACGGGGACAAGCTAGGTGCGCTCGCGTCATATCTGACGTCCTACTTCTCCCTCCCATCCCTTACCAGGCGTAGATCTCCTCTCTATTCGCACAATCGGATGTCGTAGCATGGCATAGCATTACACGGCATAGCATGGTGTTGAAGATTAATGCGTAGCATGACATAGCATGGCGTGGCGACGCCCCGAAGTGGGGGGTGGCTTCCGCGGACCAAAAAATCAGAGAATCGGCACCGACTGTGTAATCACTTCCGATGGTGTCTTCGGGAGGGCATGTTTTAGATTCTGGGGCCTACTTGGAAGGACCGAAACCCATGCCGTGGCATGGCATTGCAAATAACGACACCAGCGCTGCAGCGGGAGTACGATTCGGAACGAGCGGCAGCGCGGAAATGAGGCCAGCGCTGCAGCGGGAGCACGATTCGGAACGAGCGGTAGCCCGAAAATGAGGCCATCGCTTCAGCGAGAGCAACATTTTGAGAAGAAAACCCAAAAAAAACCAACTCCCGGGAATCCTTTTTTTGTAAAAAAACAGTACGCGGAGGGGGGGCGAACAATCCCCGGAAGCCACCAGGGGAGAGATGAGAGTAGCATTCATGACAAACGATTGCTTAGTTGTGGAGGAGGAGGAGGAGGAGGAGGAGGCGATGGTACAAACCAAGGGCCCCGCCTCCGAACCGCCGACGCCAAGGCGGCGCGCAAAGACGGCGCGCAGGCGCGCGAGGCCGCCAAAGAGCCCGCGGCTCAGCGGCCACGCTGCGCGCGGCGGCGCAGGGTGCGTGGGCTCAGGCCGCCGACCACGGAGCCGATCGGGCTCCTGCCGCTGGCGCGCGCCGCGAGCGGCCGCCGCCGCGGGGCCGCGCTCGGGTCCCGCGGGGCACGGGCGGGGCGTCCGAGCGCGGCCGCCCCCCCCCTGGGGAGCCCCCAGGGCGGCCCTCGGCGGCGGTGGGCGCCAGAAGCCGGCGACGGCGGCACGGCGGCACGACGGGCGCGGCGGCGACGGCGAGGCGCCGACCCAGTCGTGGTTGCCGCCGTCGTCGTGGCCGTCGTCGCCGCCGTCGCCGCGGCCATCGTCGTCGCCGTTGCCTGCGTCGTCACTGGCCGCATCGTCGCCGTCGCCGTCGCCGCCGGCGGCCTCTGGCGTCGGGCCGCGCCCCGCCGCAGCCGCCCCACTCGCCCCCTCCAGATCTGGAAGCGCACGAGGGCGACGACACAATCGACGACAACAACCACGTCGTCGTCGTGGTCGTCGTGCGGTCGTGGTCGTGGTCGTCGTAGTCGTGGCCGTGGTCGCTGTCGTCGTGGCTTTTGTCGTCGTGATCATCGCCGACGTCGTCGTCACCGTGGAATTCGTCCCATTCGTCGTGGTCGTTGCCGCCGCTGCGGAGGCGCGGCGCGCTGGGTGCGCGGCCGCCCTCGCAAAGCAGTGATGTCGTCGCGGCTGTCTGGCGTTCCTGAAGATTCTCGCCACCCGGGCAGCTACAGGTGAGCAACGAACAGAAGCGGGTCTCACGCGAGATGGCATAGCAACCTTACGCGGCGGCTTACGCGGACCGCCAGCGCGACGTGCCACATTGAAGAATAGGGCGCTTACGCGCGAACTTACGCTGGCAGCTTACGCGCCAGTGTCGGTGAAGACGGACCCGTTTTTCTGCGTCGCTCATATGCGACCCCCGCCCCTGCTGCCCATGGGTCTGAACTAGCAAAGTGGTTCGCTGTGCTGTTGCCCGCTCGCAGTGTGAGCCCCCACGGACGAGCCCCTCAGAGGCCCAGGTCCATGACACGACTGGACGCAGGTCGGAAAATTGGTCAGGATGGACCCCAGGCAGGGTCCGCGGGCGTGTTCCGACGGATTCTGGCCAGGACCCAACATCTGAGGACAACGACGATAGTCTGCGCTCATTTTTCGGCGATCACTCGGACTATCGGGGGGGAGGGGGGAAGTGCTGGCCGATAACCTAACCTTCTCGCGTTTGGCAGCCTCACGCATGCCTGCGCGGACCAAAACTGCCCCCCTCCCCTCGGACCTGTGCAACCAACAAGGTCAGGTTATCCGTAGGGGGGAAGGCGGGCCGATGACCCAGGCTATCACCAGACCTTCAAAAAAATACTCCTCAGGAGCCTCCGGCGAACTCTTGGGAACGCTGGTGACCTCGGGGAACCTCTGGTTACTTCCAGCAGACCTTAGGCATGGACAGCGTTGAAGCATCACGTGGGGCGCTGTCCGGCCCGCTGCCAGAGGCCCCCGGGGGCCCTCGAACCTCGCTCGGGCCCGACACATGCCGCAGAGACGGGACCGACAGCCCCAGCCCTCGAATCGCTTGAGGTCTTCAGCATGGAATACCGAGGAGCGCTGAATAAGAAGCCTCGTGGCTGTTCTGCCCAAGACCAATCTCGGCCACAAATGGACTCCACGACCTAGACATCTGAGGAACGGCCCCGAAACCAGAGGCCTTCCCGAGCCCAACGTGGTCAAATTGAGGGGACCAAATGGTCATTCACTGTCCCTGGGCGCTTGGCTGAAGTGGGTCCGCAGTGCGGGTTGTTGCTGTTGTTGAACTGCCACTCTTGACGAATTCGCCGGCCCAACGGGCCAGAGGCGTGCTAAGATCTCCGGTAACTTGTTAAGAATATTTCTAGTTCGCGCGCGCGGAGCGGCCCCTGGGGGCCCCCGGACGAAAAGTACCCCGGCAAGGTCCCGAGAGAAGCCCGGGAGAAGCCACCAGACCACTCCAGGGGAGGGTATTTTTCGACACCCCTCACGAGGATCGTGGCCTCCGAGGGGGGAGCCGCAATCGACTACCCCCAAGAGCCCCCCAAGAGGCCCTGGGGGCCTCCAAAACGCCGCCAAGGAGCCCCAAGAGACTCCCAAGAGGTCCCCAAGAGGCCCCCAAGAGGCCCTAAAGAGGGCTCCAGGGCCGGCGGCATGAGCGAAGCGATTAAATAAATATTGCTGATCCACCCTCACTAGTGCACATTGTGTTTTTCAATTGAAGTGCCCCACATCGGAGCTCGCACCCTGTGATTTAAAGAGAACGTATGCCTGCACCAACCAGGTGTTTGGGCCCCGAACAGCAGCAGCAGCGGCAGCAACAACAACAACATCAGCAACAACAACAATAATCCGCCGGCCCCCTTGTGGGGCCACCAGGCTGTAGGCCGAAGGTTCGCAGTTTCCTGTAACAGTTGCAGCTTCCAGGTTCCACTGTTACTTACAGTTCTGCTTCTTGCTGCTTACTGTTCCTTGTTGATGGACCGCGCGAGGGAGGGGAGGCCCAAACGGGCAGGTTTGGCACGCCCTGAGCGTGTTGTCTGAATTGCTGGGGTAGGTAAAAATTAACACCCCTCACGCAGATCGGCGGGGTCAGGGTCCAAAAACACCGGGGATTTGCCACATTTCTGAAATTCGGTGACACCCCTCAAGCAGATCGGCGGGGTCAGGGTCCAAAAACACCGAGGATTTGCCACATTTCTGACACTCGGTGGCACCCCTCACGCAGATCGGCGAGGTCAGGGTCCAAAAACAAAAAAGGATTTGCCACATTTCTGACATTCGGTGGCACCCCTCACGCAGATCGGCGGGGTCAGGGTGCAAAAACACAAGGGATTTGCCACATTTCTGACACTCGGTGACACTCCTCATGCAGATCGGCGGGGTCAGGGTCCAAAAACATAAGGGATTCGCAACATTTCTGACATTCGGTGGCACCCCTCACGCAGATCGGCTGGGTCAGGGTGCAAAAACACCGGGGATTTGCCACATTTCTGAAATTCGCTGACACCCCTCACGCAGATCGGCGGGGTCAGGGTCCAAAAACACATGGGATTTGCCACAGTTCTTAAATTCTGTGGCACCCCTCACGCAGATCGGCGGGGTCAGGGTCCGAAAGCCCAATATTTCTGAAATCCGGTGGCACCCCTCACGCGGATCGACAGGGTCAGGGTGCAAAAACACATGGGAACTGCCACATTTCTGAGATTCGATGGCACCACTCACGCAGATCGGGGGGGTCATGGTCCGAAAACCCAAGGGATCCTCAACATTTCTGAAATTCGGTGGCACCCCACCCCTCACACGGATCGACAGGGTCAGGGTCCAAAAACACGAGGGACCTGCCACATTTCTGAAATTCGGCGGCACCCCTCACGCAGATCCGTAGGGTCAAGGTCGAATAACAAACATGTCCCACCACTGCTTCACGGAGGCGCCCAGACCTCATGATTTAGCTTTTGTATCTCCCATTGTCCGAGACAGGGGGCCGGCGGCATGGGACGAAGCCCTTACGGATATAAGCTTAAAACTGTTCGCTCATACCAGCTCGCGTGCCGCTGAACACGTATTTCCCGAACCCTCGGTACCCGCCCTATTCGTCTTCGACCGTACCCCCCTGGAGTACATTATCCTTACCTGCCACGTGCATTTAGCGCAGCCCCTAAAACAGGGAAGGAAAGGACGGACGGAAAGGAGAGGGAGAAGGATGGAGCACGACAGGGAGTAGCAGGGGTGGCCAGGAGCAGAAAGCACGTGGCAAAACCAGACGGGCAGATCGGGCGAGCAGACCCTAGCGGGCGGGTCGGAAGGCGGGCCAAGACGGCCAGGTCGAGAAGGCGTTGCTGAAGCGTGAAAACTGCATGAACCGCAGGGAGAGCTCGAGCGATAGCGCGATTCCTGAGTAAAACGTGAGAAAGGCCAAAGCGATATCGTGATTCTTTAGTGTCCAGGCGCGACGTCTGAATGAATTGTGAAGAAATCCCACGCGAGAGCACGATGTTGGAATTCATTACGAGAGAATATCAAGCGGGAGTCGTTGTTGTTGTAATTCGGGGCCCAACAACGCAGTTTGGTGACCCGAATATATCCCTGATAGCAAACAGGGTGCGAGCCCCGAGGGGGGCACTTCAATTGAAAACATACAATGATTACCAGAGCGGGGACGATCAACAATAATCATTTTTCAGACATGAGAACTGAACGGATCCCACCTGCTGCGTCCTCACAATTGACTCCAAAATCGGGCTTTCGCGCAGGACTTCCTCACGAACAATCGCGCTCTCGAGAAGGACTTCCTCACAATGTTTTCAAACGCCGCGCCCTCGACACTCAGGGATCACTCTCTCGCTTTGGCCGCTCTCACGATTTACTTGGGAATTGCGGTATCGCTCGAAACTGCCTCGCGATTCACGCAAGACTCACGTTTCAACAACCCGCCCTCTCGACCTGGCCGCCTGGGCCCGCCTTCCCGACCCGCCTGGTAGGGTCTGCCCGCCAGATGTGCCCGTCTGGTTCTGCCACGTGTTTTCTGTGCTCCTAGCCCCCCCACCCCCGCTCTTCCCTCTCGTGCTCCATCCTCCTCCCTCACCCTTCCGTCCGTCCTCTCCTCTCCTGTTTCCAGGAATGCGCTACATGCACGTGACAGGTAAGGAAGATACACCCCCAAGGAGGAACGACCAAAGAAGAAAACGGTTGGTACCGAGGGTTCGGGATATACGTGTTGAATGGCACGCGAACAGATAGCAGCGAACAGTCTTAAAATGATTGGTGTTGTTGATGTTGTTGTTGGTGTTGTTAATGTTAATGTTAAGATTGTTGTTGTCGTTGTTGTTGTCCCGACCGGCCCGTCAGGGTCAACGGGCCCGATCTGCCCCTCTGGTTGTGCTACGAGCTTTCTGCTCTTAGCCCCCTCCTGCTACTCCCCCTCGTGCTCCATCCTCCTCCATCCCCTTTCCCCTTTTGTCTCTTCCTTCCATCCGTCCTCTCCTCACGGATTTTAGGGGTTGCGCTACATGCACGTGGCAGGTAGGGAAGATACACCTCAC